GAGGTACTCCTACCAGCAATTACTTTACAACAATGAAAGGCACAGAGCGCCCACGTAAAAGGTTTACCCGTTACCGAACATTTCCTTGGGCACTGTCTAGTCGATTCTTTCCTTAATTGTCATCAAATGTTTTGTGAGGTCTGAATCTTCAAAACCATACAGAATCCACTAAACAGAGTGTTGTCAGCATAAAGTCTGTCCATAAAATAATCTTAAAATGGATGAGGCCATTATAACGCTGATCACTGCTGTCAGAGAGTATCAAAAGAGGACAGATATTACACGCCATAAGAAGGAGGATTTTGCCCCAAGTTTAATATTAGATTTTGTTTTATTTTAGAATCAGTGCTTGGGTTCAATATTGTATATTCATGTAAATTCTTTTTGGGCCCACCATCTAAAGGCTTCAATTCGTGGAGTTCTTGAACAGTTTCATATGTGTTCTGCAAAAGTGTACACTGCCGAATCCGACGGCTAGGTAAAATAAGACAAGAACAAATGGAAAAAAATCAAATATGAAAAAAAACTTCTTCATCGTCTACAGTGTACCTACTCCAGTAACTTTGAACTGCTCACTTCATATTTTTAGCCCTGGATCTTAAATAACCTATAACCAACGTAATGTTCCTCGTTTCCTTAGTGATATTTCGGAGGTGGACACTTACTAATTAGTCGCATTCCCCATATTTACCAGAAAATGGGTAAAGTACCGATTTTGACCATTAGCTTGCAACTGCAATGTGGGTACGGCGAAACTATTGGTCCACGTGAACCTTGGGTCAAAATCCAAACTGATGCTTATCTTTTCAAAAGAAACAAAAAGTACTCGATGAACTGAATATGTACAAACTCCTATGCTAATTGACGTCAGTGACAGAAGATTTCGGACGGACCAGCTCGCCTAATCCCATTTTCTTGAGCCCACAGGTCTGGCAAGAATTATTTATATTTCGCGGCGCTAGCACTGACTGACGCCCTCATGGATAGTAATGAGGTCCTCTAAGAAGTGTCAAAAGCAATTAGCGACAATATTCCAATAACAGTTGTTTCATCTTGATATTTTTTAAATGCACTGTTATCTAAAATACCTCTTACAACCGGGCTTTTTAGTTTGCTAATCAGAGCCCATTTGCACGGTTTGTGGTCCCACTTTCGGCCACAGACCCACGAAGGTTTTTTTTACAGCAACAAGCCTTGTTGTAACTTTTCTATATATCTTTAAGTCTGTTCTATTTTGTGGCTCAACGCAAATTTGTTACAGACCTACGTGCAGGAAACCCAAGATGTGCTTTACCAACAAACATTATATCAGGAGAATTATTATCGGAGGCCTCTGAATCAGCATGCGGTGTGACATGATAAAGCCTACCAATGGAGGTCTGTCTAGCTCCTATATAAGACTATCGTTAGGCGTACGAAGAGTTCTGTAAGATTTTTGAAGACCGTTCTGATTTTCACCGGAGTCCATTGAGATATCTACAACCCCACAGAATTAATGATGGCAGAATAGTTCGTGTCCTGCTACAACGATCCATGCTGCACTTAAACCAGTAACCCGAGGCTGTGTAGTTATAGGGTTCACAGTCCACATGGGGAATGGGGTTAATAATGGCAATCAAACACGGTAGCTGAACACATGTTGTGCTGTCGGAAATGGTCTTTTTATCACTTAGGCTAATGCACATAGTTGCTTTTGAGGTTTCCACTCGGAATTCTTCATATACCTAAACAGTTCATGCACATCAAGTACTTCGTATACTTACGTCTTCTGTCAAGTCATCTTTAAATATGACCCTGGTGGCGATATCAATACACGCCACACATGATATGGCCTTTCCGAACTTAGTTGACGGACTCTTGTACTTTCACTCGAATCCATGTCAATGGAAAGTCAGAGGACAATTCCCTGTCAACTTCATCTGCCTAAGGACGTTTGCTACCGAGAAAAATGAAATATACTTCCTCGTTTATTTTTCTGCACATTCCCTTTACATAGTTTTCACACATTGCCTGAATATACGTTTACGTTTGTGCTTAAACATAAGAATAAATGGAATTTATAGGATATATAACAGAACAAAATGGAACACTGGAATGCAATAATATCATGTTGCACTCATGCCATAATGGCGGCATGGGCGCGCGCGCAGCCAGTGCGCGATAAAAAAAGCAACTAATGATTGTGAGAAGTGGCGATGGGAAAACAGCTAGTTGGTATTGGCTGCAGCGGTGTACGTATACGCAGTGCCCAGAGTTCGGGGGATAAAGGTTTAATAGTCGTAATTTACTGATTAACAATAATCTTCCAGAAGCCGAAGTTTGTATTATCTATGTTATTCTTTTACACCTTTGTCAAATTGGAGTCTGGACGTTAATCGCACCAGCCTCACTCTAGTGGCCCCCCTCTCAGCTGATTGCCACATTTCCCGATAATTTCTGCCTTATTGTCTTTCAAGGTGATGCTTAGTTGTGCTTAGAGTTGTGGCCTCTATATAGGTGAATTCGTTTCTTCTACTTATACACATTCCACTCGGAGTTCAAGGCAAGCATCCTATCTTTTATAATAATCAACCGGTGCAATGTACCAGAGGCTTTTTCAGAACCCAGGCTTCGTGATAATAGCTGTCCTTAACCTGTGTGCCTTTACTGGTTTGAAAGGGCAGCCTACGGCTTCGATGACGTGCTTTATAATTGGAAGCTTACGCAAGATCTTGCGGAAATTTAGCTCCTTCAGGTTTAGCCGCCGTTGTTGTTAAGAACTGAATTTCCTGAATAAAAAGGATTAATGACAATCGCAATGTTGATAATAGAGGCGAACGTTTAGGAAAACCTGTTGTTTTTCTTTCCTGTCTTTTGGACGTAATAAATAAATTGTTGGGATGTCAATATATCCAATAAAATTGCACACATACTCTTATTCTCTGTCTGCGTTGTAAAAACACCAGATACGAAACTTATGTAGAACCGTTGTCGCAACTTTTCTACATTTTTTTCCAATATTTTCAGGTTGTCTTCCTTGAAGTGAAACGATGGACGCCCTAGATCGACTCTCCTTGTTCTTTCAAGATTTCAACCTCGTCACATCTCAGGTACCTATTTTCCCTTCGTCTTTCTACAACTATCCATTCTATTTAGCTTCGTAATTTAGTCCCCACCCTGAAGGACAAGTTACTGGATGTCTTAAATCAGACCGCGGGTAGCGAGAACCCTGATGAGGAGGTGTTTGCCGGTCTGCCGACAATCTTTAACGCTGAACCAATGTTCAGACACCTTGATGCCTGCGTCCCTCGTCTGGCGCCTGACGCGCAGCTAGACGAAACTCCAACTCGAAGCTTTTTTACGAAACTGGAGCTCATTGCTGTACTCTCCAGTATTTTCAATCTTGTAAGTACAGTTTTTTTGTTTTTTTTTCGCCTGTCCTTTGTCTGTCTGAACTCATCTTTTCTCTTTTATTAATAACCAGCATTCTACTGGAAAAGCGGCCTGGCTGACTGTGGAATATCTTGCTCATATTTCCAAGCGGACTATCGACGAGACCCACGCTTTACTAAACCGGCTTTTTATTGAGTTAATTGTTTTGGAAAACGACAGACCTTCCACGAAGGAGGACGTTGCTGTGAAGGTTGCGCAAATACAGCAGTCTCTCGTGGAAAAGTCCGAACTTTTGTCTGACTACGAAAGGCTGAGGGATGGAGTCAAACTTCCGACGCCCCATGCCAATCTGCAGTGCATTGTTGTGGACGCTCTTCGTGTCTACCTCAATCATTACCTAGACGTGAGTCTCTTATGGTTCTTTTAGATTACGTTGCATCCATTGCGTGAAATGTATATTTACCGTTTGTCGTCTAATCGATTCCAAAGACAATGTTTAGTTAGACAACGTTGCTATTTTTTCATAGACGACGACCCGTTCCATTAGATTTTTTCCCTCTTATTTATAGGGCTACAAAAGTAACGCTATAAAAGTTGTGAAGCAGACCTTTTGGCTGTCTTTGTTTTAAACATACTCCCTGTTTCACCGAGTGCCTTGCTCCTGAGGCGAACCATCATTTTATGCCCCTCCGGTAACTGCACACACCCACTACTTTTTATTCTTCGAAGGCCAAATCACTTAAAGCAACTTTTCAAAATATCCGACTCTTCAAGTTCTGTTCACATAAGTCTTCACTGGGTGCGTCTATTTGCTTTTCCTTGCTCTTGGTATGGCTGTGATCATGCGTGATCTTACCGGCCTCGATGTTACGGACTGTTCCTCTGCACGCGTACTGATATGTGGCGGTGGATTTGAATAGTTCGCCAATGACGAAGACCAGATACTGAAGGTCCAAGAGCCATTTCTGTGTCTTGACGAACAGTGTCAAGTCAGGTTTGCCTTTGATTCCTGTTCGCCGTCTCCAAGTGGGTAATTGAGCCGGGTAGCAACACCGACCCCGCAAAGTCTCATTTGGGACGAATCAGAGTACTCCACTCCCAGGATCGTCCTCAAACAGTGGTGGTCAAATACCTCTAGTTTTCGCCCATTTTCTACGCACAAAATCCAGCATTCATAGTCATAGAAAAGGATAAACCGGACGGATGTGCGGTATATGCAAATCTTCGTTGCGACGGAGATGTCGTGTCGGCTCCAGAGGCACTTTGTGAGAATTGAGCAGACCCGGCGGCCAACATCGATTCGGGAGACAATGTCGTTCTTACTCTGTCTGTGCGGCAGCGTCCTTGCCCCATAGAAATCGTCTATTGCTTCAAGTTGACAACCAATAGTCACGAGAGGTGCCTACCCCTGGTGTGGGATGCAGATTGAAAACAATTTTCCAACGTTTATGGATAAATTGAGCG